GATACTAGAAGGTAATATTAAATAAATTCTAACAACAGCTGATCAAGCTTAAACGTGCTGCTGTTGTTTAACGCGACCTCCGGTTTCTTTCTTTCTGGTGCAAAGTGGGCGATAAGCAAACAAGATAGACGGGACTTGTGACAGAAAGGCCGATCAGCTGATCATTAATCAGTTTCATGATTGAAGTAGCAATAGGAGAGGGAGGGGGAGAGAATGAGAGAAGAAGAGGCAGCTGCGCAGCATAAAGACAGAATAACTCCAGTTTTCTGTCTTCTTTTTCATTGTATCTGAAGTACGGGACAGACTGTGCTCCTTTTCACCTCAATACGAAACGCGTAATATTTTCTCTGAATACGAGACGATTCCGTTTTTTAGGGGACGGTTGGCAACTCTAATAATTAACCTTATGAACAAAATAAAGTTCAACATCAGTAACATCATAGCACCCACTCAGCTGTATAGAAACTTCGTCATGCTAGCTAATACCCAGTACAAAAAAGTCAGCATAACGAAAATAAACTATACCTAAACTTGATTTATATCTGACCCAGATGGACTGCAGGTCATAACTTCTTACCTGAAGTTCAGTTCACCTGACACCGGTGGCCGCCTCAGGTCTCTCCCCCTCCTTCCCCCCTTTTCCCTCATCCACCTGCTGGCATCCACCACTTGCTAATGTTATGGAAACTGTGTAAGCTCCGCGATAGCCACCACATGAAGTACCGAATAACGACCCTATCTAAATCCCAGTAACGATTGTTCCTGATTTTGGCATAATAACTAGTTACCGTGCTCGTGACCACAATAATAACGTAGTTACTGTAACGCGTTACTTAACAACGCGTTAGTCCCTACACTGGTAATAGGTGAGCACCTGCTGGTGATATGTATGGGAGTTCTTAAAACTAAAAATGTCAATTTAATTGGCTGATAACATTCAAAGTCCTTTGGGAAACAATAATGAACATTTTAAATTTTCAATCATTATTTTTTTCATGGCTGATTAATCTGACAATCCATATTCACTTTGTGTTACGTTTAGGTGCTTGGAAAAACCCTAGAGCAAAAACAAAGAGAGCAAAAGAATGAACTAAAATTGATGGATCAGAGCTTAAGATTTAATTTTTTTTTTTTGTTTTTTTGTCTAACACAGTTCTGCATCATACCGTACCTATAATGCAGCTTCATTGTGTCTCTTTGCAAGATTTTCCCTTTCTAAATCCATGTCTTTGGCAAGCGACAGATTCCATTCTAATATACAGGCCCTTTTTTAGTGTCAAACTTCAAACTGAAATATGTCAAATATTATTATGCAAAATAATAATAATGATAATGACATATGTCATAGTGATATCCTTTTTCAGAAGTGCCTCTTGAGATTAGTAACATCACAGCTTGAGTTTATATATTTGATTTTCCTTCACAGTGCCACCAAAAATCACCAACCTGTCAAGAGATGTTGTGGTAAATGAAGGCTCTAACATCACCCTGATGTGCCAAGCAAGTGGTAAACCAGAGCCTTCCATCAGCTGGAAGCTCATCTCCTCTTCAGGTAATTTGTTTATACCTTAAAAAATCTAGATGCAGAGCAGATTTTTGATATATTGGTGTTTTTTTTCTTAATGATGTCATTTTTTTTTTTGCGTTTTACTTTATTTTCTTAATACTGATTTTTTAGAACACATGGATGTAGTGTTTGAGTTAATGGAAAAGTGCATTAAACTTGCAGCACATAAGATCAACAGAACACAGTGTGCTTTGAGGTAGGAGCCAAAAAGGGTGTAGTTTGTGGGTGTGATCACCCGTGTGTACACCTGTGAGCATGGACGCGCTTGTTTTTTTTTTTTAAAAGGTTCCTTCATGTTATGATCTGCTAGAGGGTGTGGGGAGCCAAAAGTGTATTAAACTAATGGTCAGCAGAGAACAGCTCCTCTGTGATTATTTAGAAGTCTATGAGACTTAATCTATGACCTCATTAAAACATCTTTACTGAATTTATGGACTTGTTTGCTAATTTCAGGACATATGGAGTACAGCATAATTAAAGTGTTTTAAATAAAGAGTCTAAATTGAAGTAAGAGCAAATAAAGAGTAAAATAAGATAATATAGAGCAGTTGGTTTTTGTGCTGGACAAAACATAAAGTTTAAAGACAAGACCTGACAAGCCAGTGGAAGAAGTAACATTGCATCTTTCATATAGAGACCATGTTTTTGCTGTCATGGTCTGGTCGAAGCAAAATAGAGTACTCAAATGCAACAGAATTCAAAAGATTTATTTACAATAATGTTTTGCAACAAGTAGAATTCACAAGGGCGACAAAGACAGAGTAATGGATCCAAAGGAGGAAGTGACACTATGGAAGAGGAAAGGGACATTGATTCAGTGATTCCAGATAGGGGAGTTCCAAAAGATAACTAGCGAGAACCAATGGCTTACTTGGTAGTGTGGGTGAGTCAGATGTTGCCTGTCCAATGATTAGCAGGGGGAGGGAATCCAGTGGCCATGAGGTAAGGTCATCCAGGAGGGTAGGGAGGTTAACTGGGGACTGAAATCTTCACAAAGGTGCATGTAGACAGATGGAGTGAGCCAGTTCAAAAGAGTCAGGTGAGTTGTGTAGGTAAGTGGTGGGTTCTCGACCCAGGCTGGGGTTGACTGGAGGCAAAAAAGCACAGAGATCAACACAATAGAAAACAAGCGAAGACAAATAACATTTGGGGGCTGATTTACCACTGAACAGTAGCAGACTGGTCCTTGAATACGGCAGAGGACTTTAGTTTGATGAGGAGCGCCTTGAGACAACTGTTGTTATGATTTGGTGCTATATTAATAAGATTCTACTGAATGTTCTTGGTTGAAGAGCAGGAAGCAGACTCCACCACATAGGGAGGAAAAATCCTGGCCAACTTAGACTCAAAGGGAAAACAGACTCCAAACATTAAGACTACCATGGACTATGGCATCTACAGTGTCTTTTCTTGTCCCTCTTTGTTTCCACCCAACCCCGACTATAACTGACTTTGTTTGACCCATAGTGGATTTCACTTTTTTAAATTATCTGTTTTTACATAATACTTGTATTGTAACTGATTAATTAATACAAAATTAAGTAAGTAATTAATTAATTAAAGGTAATTAAATTAAATCAAAGGTAATAATCGGATGTGAATGTTCTGGAGGCTGAATGATAGCTTGAATGATGAGAATACACAGGGTATAGCATTAGGGAGAAGATTAGAATTTTCAGTACTGAATGTCCCAATGTTCCATTGTATGTGCTGAGTGGCATTTTTCTATTATTACTTGCTTGCTAGACCAAAGAAAGCAAAGTATTGAAGTATTGGCCACCATTGGTCTATGACTCTATGTTTTAGCAACCTGCTGTTTAATTTGATTTACTTTTGGTTTCACTTCTGTCAATAGGAATCAGAAGGTTTTCCATTTCATATTACTTAACTTTAAAATTCAACCAATAGTAAAATGAATGTGTCTGGTTGCCCAGATAAGCTCAAGATACAATTGGTCATGCACTACAATAGAATGTGCCTTTAAAGGAATATTTATTGGAGAGCATCATGCTTTTGAAAAGGAAAGAATTGTTGGTTAAAATGGTAAAAATGAAGTACAATGCCTTATTAGACCTTTCTCTAGGCTGGTAAATCAATAACTAATGAAAGGAGGAGAAGATTTTCTTTTCCACTGTATTGTGGTCATAAACTGATAGTGGACAACTGGACCTAAAATAGGTTTTGCAGAAGAGTGGGTGCTCGCATCAACCTTTTGTAATATTTATTCATTTTAAGGGAAACTTGCAAATTAATCTGACTGGACACTTAAATGTACTTGTGAGACATGGGTCTCAAGCACTGTCATTGCTGGGAACTAATGAAATCTGATATAGTGGATCCAATACTTTATTTCATTGCTGCTTAACTTTCTGCTCAACATCAGAAGGTTTTCACCTCTTAAAGGTACAGTCTATTAGTCAGTTAAAATAATAATAATAATAATGGATTGGATTTATATAGCGCTTTTCAAGGCCCCCAAAGCGCTTTACAATACCACTATTCATTCACTCTCACATTCACACACTGGTGGAGGCAGCTACAGTTGTAGCCACAGCTGCCCTGGGGCAGACTGACAGAAGCGAGGCTGCCATATCGCGCCATCGGCCCCTCTGGCCACCACCAGTAGGCAAGTAGGGTAAAGTGTCTTGCCCAGGGACACAACGACCAGTAGCGAGAGACCAGGGATCGAACCGGCGACCTTCCGGTTACAGATGCGATTCCTAACCCCCTGAGCCACGGTCGCCCAAATACAGATGTGGCTAGGGATTTAAGAAGATTGGCCAAATTTTTTTTCAAGTATGCTGGGTCGAAAAGTACACATACATACATTTACAAATAGATTGTTTATATTGGTTATAGATTATTTATATTGGTGACTTAATACTTTGTGGTGTGGACCATGCATTCGTCACATATTTGGTTTATGCCAGGTTTCTTTTTTCTTATTTTGTTTTTGTCTTCACATCAAGTTTTCCAATCATGGAAAGATATATTTTTTTATAGACACAGCTCAGATAACAACTCTGATATCTGTTGAAAAGACTGTGTGTGTTTTGTGGCTAAGCCTTCACTATGCCTGCTATCTCTTTGTAAAACACTGCTTTGACTGAGAATCTGTATGTAAAACAAAGAATTTTTCAGAGACAGCCCCATTCAAAAGCATTCTTTATTCTGTTCTTATCTCAGCACTCTTTATCATAAAAATGGATGCAATGACTGGTTGCTTATATTTATTTATCTATTCAAAATCAGTTTCTGAGAAGGTCCATTGAAATGCAAAATGAAGATCCTCTTTGCATGAATTAATAAAACTAGAATTTAGTGAAGTGGACTGAATGAATGTATGGAATTTGTATCGGAGGAAAATATAAATAAAAAAGCATCAGCTTGAGAAGCTGTTATTTTGATTTTTTTCAAGTAAGATAAAAGAAAATCCATCTAGTTTCACGTAGTTTTCTCTGAAATTGTTCGAACTAAATTTTGTGGATTCTAGTTGGTATTTTTTATATACCATTTTGATATCCATTTTGGTTCCAGTATTTGACTGATAAGGGTGTTTACGATTAAGAATTGATAGAGTCGCAGTGCACAGTTGCTCGGACTAAAAGAGGCTTTGAGTAGAGAACAAAATGTCCCAGTCTATGCAGTTTGGACTATGCGGTCCAAACTGATACTGTTTCAGTATCTCCCACCTGCAATGAAACTTTTCTCCAGCCTTGGGCCTTTCAGTGTGAGGCCATCTATGGCAAGCACTCTGGGGTATAAATGAGTGAATATATAAAGATTCTCTCTCTCTGTATCTATCTGTGTGTTGTGTGTGTGTGTGTGTTGTGTGTGTGTGTGTGTTGTGTGTTGTGTGTGTGTGTGTGTGTGTGTGTGTGTGTTTGTCTGTGTGTGAGTGAGTGCGTAATGATTGATGATTTCAGACTTGGACCAAGGCTCTCTTCGAGCCATAACCCAGCTCTCCTCACCTTTGATAGATGGCTTTAGGGGCTTGTGGCAGATCAGAAGTGATCCTTGCTATCTTCCACAGACCACACAATCTGACTGCTAAATTTGTCTGCCTAGGCAGTACCCAGAATGAAGGGGAAAATTAATGAATTTAACCAAGGTGCAATAAAGGTTTCCCAGATTTGCACAGCACTGGTTTGCTCAGAAAGAATAATTTAAAATTAAAGGAGAGTAGTCATAGTTTTTGACCTTTGTGAAACTGAAAGAAAAAACTTATCCACTTTAATATTTAAACACTACTATGAGCAGCTGAAATTGTTGTGTTTGTCACCTGCTTAGGATTTGATGAAAGGATATACTGTAAGAAGTGCAAGAAGTAAAGACCCTTTATGATTTGTTGGAGCTGGAGCATATTTCAGGTGGCATAGGGTGAGAGATGGAATACACCCTGGAAAGGTCACCAGTTTGACAGAACTAGCATAGAGACAGACAACCATTTATACTCACGTTCACGCCTACAGCCAAATTAGCCTGTTCACCGGTTAAACCACAGCCTGGTGGTTTGGTCTAGAACCAAACACATTTCATTTAGCATCTACGTAGATGATAAAAAATGACAGCTTATATTACCGCATTTAAATTTTTATTAGACTTAATTGGTTTCATTCTTAACACTTTATGATAATTGGTTAGACACTGGACAATAAATTTCATTACAATAGAAGTCCTTCTGAACACACTTTAACTATATTTAAGGAGGTAATTCCTTCACTGTTATCTTTTCTTTAAGTTAAATTCAATTTTTATTTATAAAGCACCAAATCATAACAGTTACCTCAAGGTGCTTTACATTGCAAGGTAAAGAACCTACAATAATACAGAGAAAACAGGAAACCCAACAATCAGATGACCTTTTAACAGGGAGAAACCTCCATCATAATGATGCTTAGGGAGAGGCTATCTGCTGCAACCATTTGGGTGTGAAGCGAGGAAGACAGCACATTACAATCCATGTGCCAACACAGTACCAAGCAGCTACTGAAATCTTTGCTCTCACCAAGGTGGAATAGTTTCTTAATCGTGTTAGATCCTCTTTGGGTATGACTGTAGATGTTGCCTTCCCTTAAAAAGAAAGCAAGAAATCAGAGATGTTTGACTCCCTGGTATAACTCACAAATGTGCACAAAACAGATGGAGTAGGGGCAATGGCATTGCACTCATTTAGAAAATCTTCATTTGGACTCACAAATATATAAATATATAATATAAATAACCCCTCTGAGAAAAACAGGAACACCCCAGGTTTCTTTTCAGCACTTCAGCCAGGCTGATAAATAGTTGGAGCTCTGCTGAGCCAAGAAATTTTCTCACAAACTAAATTTACCCATTAGGGGAAAATTACTCACAACTCCCTCACAGATGTATCATTAAGTATAGCAACTTTTTAACAGCTGATATTTACTTAGACTCTTTCTCTCCTATTAATCTTTCTGAGTTAACTTCAATAATTTATTTTTCTAAAAGATCAGTGTGCCTCCTTGACCCTATTTCAATCAGACTGTTGAAAGAAGTCTCACCATTAATTAGTGCTTCAATTTTAAATCTGATCCATCTATCGTTATTAACAGAAGACACACTAGAGTCTCTTAAGAGGGGAGTAATTAAGCCATTACTTGAAAAGACCTTACTTGATCTGTATTAGATAACTAGAGTGATTTCTGACCTTTGTTTTATTTCAAAAAATGTTGAACGAGTAGTTATTAGTTTATTTTAAGTTTCACTCATCTTATGGTGTTGAACAGTGTGCTCATCCCCGTGTTTGTTCTTAGTGCAGCATTCAAAACTGATGACCAATATCTTACTACAGTGTGATTTGAATCATATCTGTCTGATAGATTCCAGTTTGTGTCTTCTTCATGCAGAAAAGTCAGTAATCGAGTTCTACAGAGTTCTGTGCTGGAACCAATTCTATTTATATTATACATGCTTCCACAGCATAATGTTATTAGAAAACACTGCATACCTTTTCTTTGAAATCCAGATGATACCCATCTTAAATTTCCTAGTCCTTAATTCAGGCAAAACATATCCAGTCCAAACATCCTGGACATTGAACATGAAACATGGTGTTTACCAGATATGTAGTTTAGAGGGCATTACTTTGGCATCCAGTAACACTGATGAATCTTGGAATAATTTCTGGTCAAATATGTCCTTTAGCATGCACATTAAACAAATATGCCTGACTACAGACATATTGCATCATTCAATTTCAGCATCACTCTAAGACAAAATATTTGTCTTTTTTATAGCAATAGTGTGCAAAAACTGGTAAATGCATTTATAACTTCCAGCATGGACAATTGTAATTTATTTTTGTCAGGGCACTCAAAAAGCTCCCTGAAAAGTCTTCACTTGATCATCTTGATTAACTCACCTCAGTGGAATTTGCAAAGTGGCTTTAACTGACACTCTAGTCTCTATTGGCAAATTCTATTATCCTCTTTTGAGAGAAAGCAGAAAGGGAACAAGAGGAGCATAAATGGAACGGAGTGGAACCCGTACACCTATGTGAGCTCTCTTGATACTCCACATCAGGTGAGTGTGTCACTGTGTGTCAGTGAGGCATTCTATCCTTAACAGCTTTCCCAGGTGCAATTCAATAATGTCCCCAAACCCAGCAAAGTGAATCCATGCACAGTTTATTACTGTCGCCTTCCAGCATCTTGGGAGGAAGCTTGAAGTCAATTATATCTTTTGTTCTTTATGTTGAGTGCTGTATTAAGTGTCTCTGTCAAGCATGTCAAATTGATACAATGAAAAAATGTGTGGCTGGGATTTTGCCCTCTTCTTATTCTCATATCTCAGTAGTAGTCCCAGGGTGCTTGTACTCTTGAGAGGCACACACAAAAGTACAGAACATGAAAATTCTGACGGATGAGTGATAAAGAGTAGGCACCAAACAAAGCATTAATCACCAAATTCTGTAGCATCCTATGAAAAATGTTAAATCAAGAACTGGTCTTGGTCAAGAATTGGTGCTACAGAGTGCTACAAGAAACATGAGAATAAGACAGACTTGCCATATTTACAAGTGCAGGTTTTGGCACATTGTATTAGAATTTGGCCTGTCACGCCCGATCAGGATCTGTCTTCATTCCTGCTGTTGCCAAAATCCACCCTTTCATTTTTGTCTACATATCCAATTTAGGGTCACAGGGCTAGCAATGAAAGGTGGAGAGGTGGGATACATCCTGGAAAGGTTGCAAGTTTGCTGCAGACAACTATTCACAACTATTCACACTCATATTCACTCCAATAGTTGGAAATGAGCTTCTCTTTTTTTAGCAAAACAAATAGATTTTTTTTCTTTACAATTTTTGTTGCTGTGTATCGCATTTAAATGAAGCACAAATCAGTAGACTTAGGTGAATTATAGTTATAGTATACAACTGCAATGATCCATCAGCCCTTGTAATCAATATATTCCTTCTTCCCTTTTAAGGTGTCCTGCAGGCACACAGTTGGTGAAAATACTGAACATGGCCACAGCTGTTGACTTGTCACATTATCTCCAAATGACCCTCTTCAATCTCTCTCTCTCTCTGTGATCTTTCACAGGGGATCTGGTGTCAGATGATGAATACTTGGAAATCCCATCTATATCCAGACAGAAAGCAGGAACGTATGAATGCACAGCTGTCAATGATATTGACACAGATGTGCAGACTGTAGACATCACCGTCAACTGTGAGTCGGCTGCTAAATGTTTCAAAAATTCACACAAACGGTACTAAATTGTACCACTTTTAATGGGACAATGTTGGATGGGTGATCATAGAAAAAATACAGTCTATTCTTGTGAACTGTGTGGATTTTTGTTTCACTATTTCAGTACCTATCAGACTGACATTGATCAAAATTCTCTAATATCTAATATATCCATCTTCTTCCATTTTTGATTCAGGGTTGAGCTGTCATAAATCAAGGGGCAGGGTACACCCTAGACAGTTCACAAATATGTTGCAAGGCTAGAATGTCTGTCTGTCTCTATGTGTTCATAGAGACAGACAGACATTCTAGCAACTTACAATCCAGTTTCTTCAGCACATTCCTTTTCTGTCCAATTTTAGTTATTGGTGACATTGATTCTTTATGATAATGTTTTGTTTGGTTTTGTGATGTCATGTGCACATCGCTTCTACTTTTTTCATCACAATACCTGTATTCTGATGTGTTGTTGGGTCCAGCAGTCATCAAGGACTAATATAGAATAATTTGTATCACTTTCCTGCTGATTTGGATGGAAGAAGATAAAAAAAAGATTTATCCGATACAGCAGCATTAGATAAATAGTAGTATCAGTAATAATCTATTTGAATTTTTCAAATTACCAGTATTTGTTTGAAACTATATTTGACCATTTAACATTTTTACATTTATATTTTCCTTTTCTCGTTCTAGTTTTTTCTCTCTCACCTCCTCGATTTCTACTCTCCTCCTCATCTCCATTTCATCTTCTTCCTCCTCACCTGAAGCCTCACTCCTAAACTGAAGAATATGAAATTGTTTATTTATTTTTGACATTTTCCCAGTTGGTTTATCATGAGCGTATCAGGCATGTGACCCTCCTGTCTCCATACAGCTGACAAACAACATGTTATAAGCTAACATTACCCCAGATAATTTTAGAAACTAGTATCTTAAATCTCTTTAAGTACTTTCTCTTTGATAAAAAGTTTTAATACATTGTCACATCACATTTATTTTTTAAGTGTGAGGATACGCTCATTAGATCCACTTAAAACACATTTTCAGTAACAGAGGCAAAAACAGAAAAATATGAATATCATTAACAATTCACCTGTATGACAGAGTATTAGCGACACAATAAAAAAAAGTACACAATAAGTTTCCGATACGGCATCCGTGGTAGTTTGCCTTCTTGAAACATCAACTGTAATCTCCATATTTTGATTTTTTTTTCTTGAAAAAGTATTTCAGCTTTTTTTGCTTGTTACCCATCTTGACCCAGATACTCAGACACATACCCAGATACTTGGATCATAAAATTACAAACCCCTGGGCAGAAATGTTTTCTGGGCCCTAGCCGACTTGTTTTGAGGATAAGATTTCTTTCTGCAATAATCAGACATATTGATAGTACACAGAATAGTTTGAAATGCAAAGGCTGTATCTTTGAGAAAAAAGTTATAAACACAACACAACTTTACTAATGTCATGGGTTGCTCTGAGGATCCACTCGCAGGACTCCGGAGTTGTGTTTTAAAAGAGACTGTTTATTTACAAGATCTTCACCAAGTGTATTTACAGACAGTGCGAGGATAGTGCTATATACAAGATGTGAGAGGCAGGGTTCCAGGGCTCCAGGGAAAACAGGGGAATCACACACGCGCTCACTACAACCTCTCTCTCCGCTAGTGACCAGTCACTCCTTCCACACTCCACACAGGGAAACATGGGGACGGGTCTGGGGAATCTAGAACACAGAGACACATGTTAACTTTCTGAGACGGAGGCACGGGAAACTTGGGCTCGACATGTACTGACTAGAGTCTTCACAACAATCCAGCGTTGAACAGCTGACCTCCTCCCTCTAAAATACCAGTTGGTCTGATGAGGCCCAGGTGTTCCCAATCCAGGAAGGCGTGGGCCGAGGGCGTGAACCCACCATGATTTCAGCCCTGGCAAAACAGGAGAGAGAGGGAGAGAGGGGGAGAGAGAGATAGAAAAGGAGAGCCAGGAGTGGGGAGATTATGATCAGTGCCTTGCCGATCCCGCAGGTCGTGACAGCTAAATCCTCTAAAGTAACTTACATTAAATTAAAAAGGATGAAAATACTGTTTAATTAAAGTTTTTGCATGCACACCTGTTATCATCTTACTCCCTCATTCTCTCTCTCTGTCTGTCTGTTTTCCTTATGATCTTCTCATCTTTTACCTCCTTTCAACAATTCTTGCCATTGCCACAGTCTTGCTCCCAGATGAATGTTGAAGAAATAACAGAAATATTTCCTGTAAACTTGCTTTTTGGGTTATGAGGAAGGCCTGGCTTCTTCATTTAGAGCCATTCAAACCTTTGGGTCATAGATTTACCTTAATTGTGAGCTGCTAACCACAAGATTAGCTTGCATGGCAGTGGCATCTACTAGCTAGTTGACTTAGGAAGAGATCACAATGTAGATGAAAAAGGGAGAGATAGAATCTAGACTACTGTATTTAAATAAAGATTACTGTATTTGGCCAATTTTTATAATAAAAAATATCATATCTACTTTTTGATAATTTGTGGTTTAAGATTGCATGCCCATAATGCCCACTGGACAATCTGGCCCAGAAAATACTGATAAGCATCCAAACTTTTGTAGGGCTTCAGATCTCGTATAATTGATTTGCTGGTGATAACATAATTATATAAATCATGTAGAGGGACAGTGCCAGATTTGCACAGCATCAGTAAACACACTGAAGAAGTTCAGTAAACATCCATCTTTAGCCCCAGTTTGCCCAATTTATGCACATTATGAGCAATATGCTCCCCATGAATGTGTTTTATTTCCTCTGAGACAGTATATATACTTTTGTTTACTATACTATAGTTGCCAGTTTTCTTCAGCTACATAATGTATAATGTTACTTCACGTGTCACGATAAATTACATGTCTGCACACCTCAAAACTTTCTCTAATCATAAAAGCTTTTCCATCTGCAGAACAACTACCCAGAACTACTGATTTGGTTGGAGTTTTTTTATGATCACATTATGATTTCTGACTCGGTTATTAGTTGAAGCCTGTGACCTTTATCTACAGGATTTTATTTATTATTACTAATACTACATGATTGGCTGACTGGGGTTAGGGTTAGGGTTAGAGGTATGTGTTCTGGAAGTATGCGCTATTTTAAATGAAAGATACGTTCAAATTAGAACTACTTTGTTATTAAATTAACCTATATCTAATAATAGTCTAATGCATGTAGCATGGTTAATTTACCTTTTTTTGTTTAATTGTGGGTAAATTAGCTGATTTTCAGGAAATTAATCTGCAACCTTAATCATTGGTTAATTTGTCAAACCTAAATACCAAATGCTATATAAATCATTAGCACTTAGTAATAATGATTGATGTTGCTTTTTGGCCTATTTGACAAAAAACTGATTTTGTGGCATTGAATTATACTTTATTATCACAAGTGGCATTTTCATTGTTTTCCTTTATTTTTGCAGTACAAGTTATTATTCATATTGTCTGTGTGTAGTTATCATTTTTTAGTTACCACAGAGAGCCCTGAAATCAAAGCAAGTTTGAAAGGCCCATGAGCAGTAGTTGACTACTTGGGCACATTTGCCTATATTTTGGACATACAGCTAACAACTATTATTTATATTATAATATCTCTATGATACAGAGGTAAGAAATTGATCATTAAAACCTGAACAGTTATTTTCTTCACATCATACTCTAACACTATGCAGTTTCAACACTGTACTAAGTATTATGTATAATTTGAATGATATTATCTGTTCACTTGTAGTTGTGGCATAGAGTCAAGACAGGAAAATGCCATGACCTCTGTCTCCTGCTTATCAATGCTTGTGCTGCCGTTTACTCCCACACACAACATCCCTGTGTGTTTCTGTCTGGTTGTAGATGCTCCAGCTGTGTCAGAGGGCAGAGATGTTGGAGTGACACTGGGCCAGAGAGGAGTGCTGGAGTGTGAGGCTGATGCAGTGCCTGAGGCAGATTTTGAATGGTACAAAGATAACAGAAGGTAATTGGTCTTACATTTGCATTTTAAATAGGCAAATTAAAGGTATGTGAATATGTGCGTGTGCCTTTGTGTGTGTGTGTGTGTGTGCACACAAGTTACTGATGGTTAATGATCTGCTGTGAAATTTATAGTCCCAATACTATCTAAACTGATTTTTTTTTAAAAAAGTGTGGGAAAAAAAAGTCAAAAAGAAAACATGAATGATATGATTTGATATTTTTCACTTATTTAGGATCTTTAATGACTTTGATGGTATGGAGATTGTCAGTACTGGATTAGGATCAAAGCTGACCTTCTTTAATGTGTCTGATGGAGATTATGGCAACTACACCTGTGTTGCCATCAACACACTTGGGAGTTCAAATACAAGCTTCCTTCTGTTTGGTAAGTACATTTATGATACTTGACAACAGGAACTATAACTAAAATTGTGTAATATGTTAGATTTGTACAAACGTTGTTGTATGCAGTCATTTTATTTTGATGTTTAGTTGCTGCATTCGACCGTGTCCTTAGGGGTGTCCTGTGAGAGGTGCTACGGGAGGATGGGGTGTCTAGTCCATTGCTACGGGCCATTCGATCCCTATACAACCGTTGCAAGAGCTTGGTTCACATTGCCGGCAATAAGTCGGATTCGTTCCCGGTGGGTAATGGGCTCTGCCAGGGCTGGCCTTTGTCTCCGATTCTGTTCATAATTTTTATGGACAGGATTTCTAGGCACAGCCAAGTGGCGGAGGGCTTTCACTTAGGTGGCCTCAGAATCTCATCTCTGCTTTTCGCGGATGATGTGGTTCTGTTGGCTTCATCGGGTGATGGCCTCCAGCTCGCACTGGAATTAGGATTAGCACATCCAAATCTGAGGCCATGGTTCTCAGCCGGAAAAGGGTGGAGTGCCCACTCCGGGTCGGAGATTAGTTCCTGCCCCAAGTGGAGGAGTTCAAGTATCTTGGGGTCTTGTTCGCGATTGATGGGAGAAGGGAGCCGGAGATCGACAGGCGGATTACTGATGCGGACGCTGCACCGGTCCGTCGTGGAGAAGAGAGAGCTGAGTGTAAAAACGAAGCTCTCAATTTACCGGTCGATCTACATCCTTACCCTCACCTATGGCCACAAGCTGTGGGTACTGACCAAAAGAACAAATGAGCTTCGTCCAAAGGTTGGCTGGCCTCTCCTTTAGAGATAAGGTGAGAAGTTCAGCCATCCGGGAGGGGCTCAGAGTAGAGCCGCTGCTCCTCCAAATCGAAAGGAGCCAGCTGAGGTGGTTTGGGCATCTGACAAGGATGCTTCCTGGGCGCCTCCTGGGTGAGGTGTTCCAGGTCTGCCCCGGGGCAGACCCAGGACATGCTGGAGAGATTATATCTCTCGGCTGGCCTGGGAATGCCTTGGTGTTCCCCCGGATAAGCTAGAGGAGGTGGCCGGGGAGAGGGAGGTCTGGGCTTCTCTGCTTAGGCTGCTGCCCCTGCGACCCAGCCCCGGATAAAGCGGAAGAAGATGGATGGATGGATAGTTGCTGCTAATCAGGTCACTCTTGCAGTGGTCCTCATTATCACTAAGCTGGGTCTTTAATCACTGTCACATGTAGTGACCAGAATTGCACTCTATAGCCCAAGATGGTACTTGTTGTGCTGCTGTGGAGCCTCTCAAACCAGAACCTGCAGCCAGTGGAGAATTTTTTATGTACTGTACACTGAGCTCACCAAGGCTGCAAAGCAGAATAAGTCACCGAATACAGTCCAAGATGGTTTCATTAACCAAGTACTACCCTGGGTGCATGTCTTTAACTTCACTATCTCCACTGTTCTGTCCTCTGTGAAGTTATAAATCTCACCAGAAAAATTTGAGAAGTGGAGAGTTGCATCTTATTTTGAAAATGTATTGGATTCACTGTGCTGTTCCTGTGTCTGACATCATGTCCTCTTCATCTGCTCTGCTTATTTAATATGGCTTCCATCAAAAATAAGGCCAAAATATAGTCAGTGAGTGAATAGCCACTTCTGGGACTAGACTGATAAACGTTTTGTTGGCATGTTTAAGTCTATTTTTTGGCTAAAGTTCTAATTTGTATAATTTGTTAGATCCCAGGTTAGGCTTTGTTTGTTTGTTTTGTCATGATAATATATGTGTAATATTATACAGCAAATTAAGGGGACTGCTGAGCATACACCCTCGTGTGCACAATCATGGCTTATTTGTGTGTGTGGCTCCTGAGTTCTCTGCTCACACACAAGGAAAATAATTAGAATAGAATAATCCTGTAATTGTCCCACAAGGGGAAATTTGGTTGTAACAGCAGCCAAACAGACACATGTACAAACAGTACACTGGACACGGAACAGAAACATACACAATTTTTCTTACATATTTACATTAAGGACAGTGGTTACTATATACAGAGAGTACTGTACAGTTATTAAATTAAATAAAAATAACTACAGGTAAGAGGCAAACCAGGTTGTAGTGCAAATTGCGTGGTAATAAATACCTGTGCTATACATATAAGTCTATAGAACTCTTGGAAATCAGTTAAGCCTGTGTCAAGCCTGTGTGAGCTTTAAATACACTGTTCTCATGTAAGCATTAAAATTCTTTCTGAAATCATACTGCAATGTCTGAATAAAGCCTTAAAAATTATTTATATGACAGACGGCCATTCAAATAATAATAAAAAAACCCCTTACACATCTGATGGAAGGTCCTTGTTACATATTGCATTGTTAAAGGGTCTTTATTTGGAGAGTGCACAGATGTTTGCTGTTCTTAAAATTTTGATAAAATTACTTTATTTGTGGTACTTAAGACAAAGCATTTTGCCTTTAGGGCCCCACCGTTGCTTTTATGCGTTGCTGCTGTTTTGTCAGTTGAACTACCTGAAACTGATATCATTATGTTGCTTTTCTGTTTCTGACACGTTGCTCTGTTCAATTTGTTTCCCTGGTATAGTGGTAATTGAACCCACTAGCTCAACACTTTTGCAAGGTTAGTATTCAACACCAGCATGAACGTCAGCTGTCGAGGATCAATAGTATTAATTGCATGCTGGAGCCTGTGGAACATTGCCATTTTCACAATTCTAAGTTAGGCTGCATTAGAATTTCAGAGACGATGAGTCTCTGCTACATTTGAAAAAAAGTGAAATCATTTGTCTTGGCTTTTTGAACCAGTCAAAATTGCACTTTAACCCTCTGTGGTTTTATTGAATTGACATGTTAGAGTTCTTGTGTGGTATGCAGGATCTCTGAGGACGGTGAGCAGCAAAGGAAAGTGACATATGCAAATCTGTGAAAATGGTCAATGAAGTCTGTTTCATTAACTGTGTTTCATCTTTTTCTTCTCAAACCTAACTGCCTCTCTGTGTGACATCGGCTTCATTTTGATTCTTTGCATGTGCTTTTCCTAATGTAAGTATTTATCATGTTTGTTTGTTCTTCTGTGATCCATTGTACCAATATTTGCTGCATTTCAACTGTACATGCTACAGAAGAAAACCAAACAAAATTGCAAATTTCTTGTGTGAATCTGTGCACATTTTGAGGTCCAGCACTTGAACGTGTGAAACTGCAGAGATAAACACCACACCTACTTTGCCATTTGATTTGTCCTTGTGACTGCAACCAGCAGTCCATTCACATAACAGAATTGTATTAATGACTTTGATTTGGACTATGACTATTACTATTATTCTAATTATCAGTAGAGAGGATTAGGAATAATCCACTGTGGAAGGATAATTGGATACATGCCCCCAAAGGAAACTTGTGGAAAGCCAAGGGAAATGAGTAGTCATTGTTTTACCAATTTCAATGTAAAAATGATCCAAAATCCTTTTATAATACACTCATTTAGAACTTGCCTCATCCCCAAAAAGGGCATGATGAAAATATTACATGCTTTTATTCATAAAATGCATCATGCAATACTTTGGTAATTTTAGCAATGTGTTAAAAATATCAGTGCTGGAATACTGCATTTCAATTTGAATAAGTGTTTTAAATCACTTCTCAATCCTAAGAATGTCCTTGAAAAAACAACCTTGCTGAGCACGGTTCATTTTTATCCTACTAAACCTTTGAGCAGTTCATGTCATCTTGAAGAGTTTTCCTTTAAATATAGTTTTTTGACAGTGTTGTTACTTCCTCACTGAGATTACTTCCTTACTCTGCTTCTCTTTGTTCATCTTTCACTATCATCCAAACTTCATAACACTATTCACTGTTATGTGCTAAATAAATCAGATCCAAAGATGAATGATGATGATTAATTTACAGTTGCTATTTACAACAAATACAGGAAAAGAATGCATCGTAAGTGATGTTCAAAAACAAATTACAAACACAGTTTAACAAAAAAACAAACTGTAATAGAAACCTGAGGTACTTTAAAGTAGGATCCATGGCATATATCAATTGCTTTAACTTAAAACTTCAGCCAGCACGACTTGTTAACACCAGCAAGATGGACATTTTGACCCTCTGGCATTTTCAAAATCCTGTAACTCTATTAACCCTTTAAGGCCGGTCAGAGCGGGCATGTTCTGTTTTGCGTAACCATTTTTAAATCCCTGTAGAACCGGAACCGCGTAAGCTAGCGCAATAATTTTTTTTGCATATGAAACCTGACCTGAAAATTGTATAAAAAGCGCTTGCAGGAACAAAAACATAAAATAAAACTATGAAGACACTCAAAATAAATTTCCTGTTGTTGTAAACTATTTTTGCAACTTTTTTGTATTTAAAGTTTTCAGGGATAAGCCTCTTAAATTTAAAGTAGAAATATATGTAAAAAACAAAACAAAAACGATTTTCTATTTTTTTGTAGTTTATTGCACTTTTTTTCAATTAATGCAGTTACTATGGACTTAATGCATACATATTATTAAAATATGGGCTATAACAGTTGTATTGATGTATAGCTACTTGAAATGCTCCCAAAAATGGCACTACAGCATGTAAAAATATAAAGTAAGCTCTGGCGGACTTGGTTCTATGGCAGGTCTTAAAGGGTTAAAATAAAACCTGATCGTCTCAAATTTCATGACTTTCTTTTTTTTTAAAAGGGGATTATTTATCAAATTTGGAATTTTGGAATGTTTGAGATCAAAAGAAAAACAAAATGTCCACTTTTACCTAGAACCCACCTTTGACTGTTATAACATCAGCCAAAAGCTAGTTATATGTGACTGATAAATAAATATATAGGTGACTTTAGTTAGATTAAAAAACCCCAAAAAGAATGATTACTACAGGCTGAGTATGGGATTTTGAGCAGAAGCAGGGGGAGTGCGTATCCGAAAGCATGGAGAAGTGACAGGTTGCTTTCTCTTCTGAGCAGCATAGGAATTCATACCTAAAGTGAACAGAGTCTAGACTGTGGAGAACTAATCCAAACAAATGAATAGTGAAATCCAGAGCACATCAGTAAAACAGGTTTTAGGCCTGACCCGGACAGCTGGGGAGGTGAAGCTGCAGATTGCGAATTGGGGAGCAGTGTGAACACTGAATGGGAGGCTGCACTTTGGTGATTTTGAGGCAGATGTAAAAATGGACGCGATCATCAACTTGGACATTACTACTTTTACAATAATAATTTAAAATGCTTTTTTCTCCCCTTTTGTGTAGCCTGCGTTGAGATCAATTTTAAAATGTAAACAATCAACTGAGGGGTCAAAATCACTCCTCCTGGCAGTTACAGTGTTAATTACTGTGTTCCCAGATTCTCGCTATGCAAATATCCTGCATTTCTTTTTCCTAACTCTAAACCTTAAAAAAATCTTATGTTTTGTGGCGAAACAAAAGAAGGTATAGATAATACAGTTAGTCACTTTTTCAGGCTCTTGGTTTAAGTCATTGTTAACTTTATCAGTATTAAAACATAATTGTTGCCATACAGTCTGTGGGTGTGCATTGTCAAACAACTTTTTAAAGCACATTCTCAATTTCCGTCAGCTGAATGTGTACTGAATTTTTGCTGATATATTAACCATTGACATTTTGTTTCTTGTTATGAATGCAAAACTGTTTTCAAGATAACCCAGGGGAACATACCATCAAAGACACAACCAGGTGTCCCTAAAATTGAACTCTAATATATTGTAGCAAAAACTTCTGCATCAAAATTGCAGTACTGTGACCTTTAAATTCTGTCTTCATGCCATCTTATTAAGATGACATACAAACCATAATAACTGTTACAGGTCTTATTACTCTTTAAGTTGTTGTTTAAAAAAACACAAATATGTTTGTAATGCTGGATTGTTCACAGACGGGAGCTTCATGTACTGACACACCAAAAGAAGAAAACTCCTTAGTGGTGAAACTTACCCAGATGTTTTTCCTCATTCTATCTCCTGTTAGGACCGAGAGCAGTTCAGGATGGCAGCGGCAGTGCAATGAGTGTGCACTCACACAACTGTCTCCTCTTCATTATGATTCTGTCCTTCCTGCTTAGATTTTGAAGATAAATTGAGTTGAACTCCAGTGTTTTGTGTGTGTGTGTGTACCTGCGTGTGAGTGTGTGTAGGTGTGTGTGCGTGTGTATGTGTGTGCGTGGGAGTGTGTGTGTGTGCGTTTTTGTTTTTTCCAACTGAAACCATAAACTGATGCACATTAAGTGCATGATTTAATCTGCACTGCATTGATGTTGACCCGCTAAACAAGTATGTCATTGAGGGTCTTTTTTTTTAAGATTTCAAGGATGTAACAAATGTTTCACCTTTTAATTGAATTTTGTTGGATATTTTTCTCTTTGAATCATATTATTCTGGATTTTCTCTTTTTACCTGTGATTCTAAAAAAAAAGATTTTTAAAATGATGTCTCTTATTTTTAAAAAGTGTCTCTTAATCAAATGGATTTGTCTTGAATTTAACCACACCGAATATTCATGTCTATTCCAGGAAACAGCAAATTTACAGCAAATATAAGAAGTGAATTCTAAATACCTCAAAATTAAACTGAAAGAGTCAAACACAAGGTTGCCCTGAGGCTGAAAACCTGGTATTATCATATTTTAATGTGTAATAATTATCCTTTCGTCTGGTTGTTGAAAGCAGAATTGTAGTATTTTTGTTTCCACCATTATAGTGATATATTTGCACTTGTGCTATGCTAATCTTTTTAATTATATTTTTTCAATTATGTGTAGTTTTAAATATTTTTAAGAACGGGAAATATGAACTTGTAATTATTTGGGACAAACCCCTTACTTTCATCTCTTTGTCATTTTTTGTTCTTTACTCGTACTGGTTGTATACAAAAATGTTGTCAAGATTATTATAATTATAATTATGTTAGACTTTAATATTTACAGATGGAGGGAATGTTAGCTACATTTGTATGGAGTGGACATCTGACTTAAGTAATGCAGACCTATTAATGCTATTGATATTTGTTTAATATCATACCATGTATACATGCTCTAGAAATTGTTCCTGTTTATGTTCTAAACCAGCACTGGAGGGTTACAGAACAGTCGTTTTGAGTAGATTAACACAAAATAAACTCTTTCTGCATGTATTTAGACACAAATGACCCAAAGACTATATTTCATAAACTTCCTGTTTTTCAAATCACCAAACAAAGACCCTGATTTTTAAGTATTGTCTTCTCATTAACTTCAGAGTAAACTAGAGGTCTTCATGGGTACAAAAATGTCTGTCTGTGCAAAAATGTACTACAGTGAATTAAAGTGGATTTGCCCATTTTTTTTTAATATTGACCCAGAAATAATATAGAAATAACACCTGGGTTAAAAAAAAGGTCAGAAAAAATAGGTCAGAAATAAAGACTATATGTAAAACGTGGCATAACTGCAAATGAGCATTTATGCCACTGTGACATAATTGCTCATTTGCAGTCTTAAGAGTTCCTTTTTCATTGACAACCTGAGGAAATTATTCACTACCATACAATAGTAACTAGAAGCATACATTGTTTCATCATTATCTGTAAATTAAACTATAATGCACAAAGTGAAGATCATATTAGACTGAAGCTGTATTGAAAGTAGGAACTGAGACCATAAACTTATAAGAAAAAGGTTGAATTAGCAAACATTTTGCAGTAAAGACTTTCAGACTTCTGTTGATTTGGACTTTATAAATTAAGCAATTATTCTTAGCCTATTAGAATGAAAGCAGATTTAAGGTACTTTTGCTGCCACTTCACAATTTAGACTTATAGGCTAAGACCCATCTTTAGTATTTTGTCCATTATCCAGTCCTATACAGATCTACTGACATGGGTAGACTCATGAAGACCTTTAGAGTAAATGTGTTGTCTTTTGACACGAGTAAAATACAAAATCATTGATACTCTTAAACCAAAATGTACAGTATAGGAGTCAGATTGTGAGATGTTGGTCAGAAGATTTAATAATTTTAGACTTTACTGTAGAGTATGCAAGCCAACTGCAATAACTGAGACTGATTAAAGGTCTCAGCAAATAGGCCACAACAGTTCTTATCACCTGATATATAACTTGCATTAACAGAAAAGACAGAATATATGAGAAAACCTGAAAATCATATGTTTCAATATGGACAAATATCAGTGCAGGCAGAGTGTCACAGGCAGCAAACAATCAGCAGACCTCCTTTACCATATTTCATTGTGAGCATGAGAATTTTATGCAACAATCTGTAACCTCTCACAAAATGACAGGAAGAATTAAAGCTGGTAATTTCTCTCTTTCATATCTCTCAATTTGAAAAGAGATTTGTACCAATTGGCAGACTGTACTTAACATGGGTATGCTTTTATGTTATTTAGTGGCAATAACAAAAAATGTACATCTGGTGTTGAACTACTGGCTTTTGTAATGAAAGGGATTGCTTTAAGACATTGTGCATCCCTTGCAAAATGCTGTTTGTTTTTACTGTCAGTTTCTATCAGAGTTTTGCAATTGAAGGTTTCCATTAACACTGCAACAAACAAAAACAGTGAATTAAAACAAATTACTATGTCTGTTTAATGATGGGAGATGTTGCCTTTCTTATCTTCTGAACGTTCATCACACCTAAAAGGAGGAAAGGGTACACAAAAGCAATGACCTCTGTTCTTTTAATATACATTTTTTGCCCCCTTTCTCAGTCTTTTCCCTCTGGCTTGTGTCAGCACCACTGAGGCCCTAGTCCATCATCCACATTCCCCTACCTCTATCTTTCTTTTCTTTCCATGGTTTTTGGGGATAACAACCTTTTCACTCCTTGGTGTGAAAAGAAGAGCCAACATCCAAATCAGAGAGGCATGAAACGGGTCGTTTTAGAAACTGATCAGGATAATCACGACCTGAATCTGACAGGCTAATCATTGTTTGTTTTCACATATCAGAGAGAGGGAGGGACAGAGCTGCAGAACATTATTTATCTCTAGCACTCCAATGTTTGGAAATGACATGGTAATTATTCCATCCTGGGTTGAAAGAAGGCACTACCAATCACACGTCTATCCTGCACAGTCATTTTATGACAAGATTCGCCACATTTAAGATGGACTCACATCAGATCAACTCATAGGGAAGTTTTTGCAGTGATCCATTCAATACTACCTATAAGCAAATGTTTATCATCTAGCCAGATTTTTTAATAGCGCAGCAATAAACACCTGAAAGTCTTATTTCGATTTTCCAGTACATTTGCTGCTGAGTACTTGCTCACACTTAGTAGCACATGTACAGTTTGATCACTATCTCACAAGGTAATCGAAACTGTGAGAATTAAAAATATGACTTTAGAACTCTACAAATTTTTTATATCAAATACACCTGTTTATGAACTTGCAGTAAGATCTCTCACCATGGATAAAATTTTGCAAATTGCTTAACACTGAGCTAAGAATGTGATAAAAATCTTGATGCATTCTTAATCATCCAGGTAAAAAAATCCCCATACGTTGATTCTGTTCATGTGGACGTAACGCTTTCAGTGGGAGAAATGTTTCGTCACTCATCCAAGTGACTTCTTCAGTCTCAGCTGACCCCACCTTCTTCAAATCAAACAAAATTGATGGCAAACATTTATGCTGGTTTGTGCTTCTAAAATGTTAGTTTGTAATGCTTTTGTAAGAACATTAATGAAAGTTTCAAGGTCAAAAGCCCGTATTTACCTTTTCTAATAAAAAACATCCCTATGTTGTTCTGATTAATTTGTATTTTGTTAATGCATAGTCTATTTTAACTATTACGGTGAACCTATTTTTTTTTTACTTTTGAGACTGTGATCATGATAAAAATATCATGGTTTATGTTTCACAATGTTTTCACAATAAAGAAAGGTGCTGGGTGACCTTGGATGACCTCTAGGAACTTTTATTAATATATTTGAAATTATTAAATTATTATTTATTAACAACCAGAGACCAAAGACTATTCTTCAATGACAACTGATCAGTGGCCATCAGTACCATTCATAGAGAGTTGGGAAATGGCTGCAATCACAGCATTGTAAGATAGCGAAAGATGTACCCTTAGGCTCCTTCCTCAATTCAGAGATGGTCTTTCCCTTTTCACGTAAATGGCCTCCTTCACTCCCCACTCAAACTAGCACTCCTCCCTGTCCAGGATGTGTAGACCAGTTTTTGGCGCATTTACTCAAGGCCATCTTGATATGATGTTTTTCTGCTTCCTTGGCTGCTGTATCTGTGGGGATGGTGTTCGCTCTATGTTGTACCATCCTGATCACAACCAGTTTTTGCTTTAGTGGATGATGAGAGTTAAACCTTGAATACTGATCCATATGCGTAGGTAGACGGTACACATCAACTTTTAAATGACCCCCATTACTGATGAAAATCTTACAGTGTAAGAAGGCTAGTCTGTCATTTTTCATATCCTCCCTGGTGAACTTGATGTGTTTGTCTACTGAGTTAATGTGATCAGTGAATTGTGGTACATCCTGAGATTGTCATCCACATACCTGAGCCAATGACTTGGTGGTTTTCCTTACCTGGATGCATCAAGACATTTTAACCCACTTTGGCAAAGACTGCCTAAAGCTACTACATGAGTACGAGAAAACAGCAAGTAAGATAGCTGACTCCAGGATCCACCTGAGATTCAGCCTCAGATGCAGACAAAACAGGATTACTCCTAAAATTCTGCCAATGAGATCATAAGTTCAAGGCCTCCAAGAAACAAAAATCCCCCAGAAGGCACAGAACACAACTTTTTGGGAACGATAAGTATCATCCATGATCAGAGGATGACATAGAGAAGAGTCAATGCCTGTCAGATCATTGTTGAAAATCCAACTGGATTATATTTTCTAAAGCTTTCGTGTTGGTCTGAGATGTACAAAGCTAAGAGTAAAAGGTAATTTTAATTTCATTGTTTTCAAATCCCTGTTGTTCCAAACACAGAAAAGGGAAAAGCATGTGGAGAAAACCTATGCATGCTGCCTCTTTACAGGCTTATTTTGGATTTTTTTAAGCCTTTTGTATTACCTAGTGCCAGTGTTCTTGATGCATTATGGACATTGTCAGCCTCAAGGTTAGACAAGCTGGCTTGCAGAGCAGTTAAATAAAGACAGTCAAATTGCATGTTGCGAGGCAGTGTAATGATTTGTGCCACACAACACAGCTAATTTCCCATTTAATGCACATTTAGTTGAAAAACCAAAACAAAATCTTTCTTTGTCCTCATGTTGTCCAGTTGGTCTTAACTAGGTTCACTTTAATTCAAACTCTGTTGTAATTAAACTTTTAATGTTTCCCTTTAATGTGACTACTATGGTTCAAGGGTTTGTGCTAAAATAGAAATTGCATGTGTTTTGGATAACCTTCCAGCTAACCTTAATGCAGGCGTATTTATATCCATCTTTGCAGACTATTTTGATTGTTCAAGTCTTTGAACAGCTTCATGATGTTTCTGTCTGCAGGTTTCTGTTTTGGAATAACAACATTTTGATTGTTTCCTGTAATACAGCCACAGGCAGCACTGGCTAACAGTGACAAATCATAGCTACATTAGCTTGATACTTAATTAATTTTCAATTCTTGGACATTCAAAGGAACTACACTAGTTTGAAATACATCTGAATTTTCCTTTAAGTAAGAAGTCTGACCTTGTGTGATGATTACAGTGTTTTGCTAAATGTCATTTTTTTATAAATAAAATAGAATTAAATTGAAATTTAATTTAAGAAATCATTCCCTTTAGTAATTAAAAGTCAAAAACTGATTGTGAAAGACTGCACTATTACATTTAGTTTTTAGAAAATAATTTAAATATTTTTTTTGTCTTGTCACTCTTTGCCCTTTATCTTTTCTTTCCCCTCACCCCAAACCAGCCATTGCAGATGGCCGCCCTTCCCTAGGCCTGGTTCTGTCAGAGGTTTCTTTCGTTAAAACGGAGTTTTTCCATCCCACTTTCTAGAAGTGCTTACACTTAGGGGGTTGGCAGATTATTGAGATTTTCCCTTTAATGTTGTAGGATCTTTACTCTACAATATACAGTATAAAGCACCTTGAGATGATTGTGGTAGTTTTTGTGCTTTGGCGCTATGTAAATGGAAATAAACTGAAACGAGTTGAATTAAAATTGATTCTTTTTCCACATGCTATGCACTTTCAGCAACTGCACATAATATGCATCTCTTTCAGGCAAACTCAACACAACAGGAGCTGACATACCTATTTAAATTGGAAATAAGCAACCACAGTAACAATTAATCTCTCAGACAAATTGAAGGCAGGCATATTGCATTTTTTTTTGTGTCTGCACTATGTTAGAGCAATGGCTCCCAATTCCCACCAAGCATGACTTTAAAAAAAATTATATGCAAGTCCTAATCAAGCCAAACCCATGACAAAATCCAGGCGAATGAGCAGAGGATCTTAGAAATACATATTTCTGATCCTGCACCAGCATTCATTTATGAAAACGCACTGAGAAGTGCTGGATACACATAATTTTTTTGTTTCTGTGAGCCAATTTTGAATCACAGCCCACTAAGATTTGTATTTTGGAAGCATTGCATGTTCATGTTTATATGACCAATTACAAACATCTGTCTCAACTGCCCGGAGATTATCTTAGCAGATTCATGACATTGTCTCACAATATGTTGGGATTCATTTTTGGATTATTTACATGACTAAAATTCTACCCTACACTGAAAAAAGGCCATGTTTGATTTACTTGATTCAATAGTGGACATTGGCTGCACACAAATGTTTTGCTTTGGCAGAAACTTAAACAACTGAGTTAAATCAACACAACTTTTCATATTCAATAAAACTGTGCATTTTGTGTTCATAAAACACGATTGAAACATGTTTAGATGAAGTAAATTGAGCTCTTGGAATATTTTAATCCTTCGCAATTTTGTCATTTTATTTCAACACTATTCAATAACTTTTACCCCAATACTACTTGGTCACTTACAGTAAATACTACTTGAAGGTAGTTGTATAGAGTTGTTGGTCATATGTATTTTATTGATGAAAAATGTGTGCTCATATTTAAGGCTGACAGTAATAAAATGTTGTCTCTTAATATTTTGTGATTTCTTGTCTTTATTTAGTGTTAATGGGTTGTTCAGAGTAAATAGTGATAGGAAGAAATCAAATTGCTGACATGCTGCACCGCCAATAGACTAGTGATGGGATTTCTGGTTCAGCTCACTAAAAAGAACCGGCTCTTCGGGTTGTTTTGTTGCTTTAATTAATTTATTATTAACAATAATATAAAATTATGCACAAAAGGAATTACTAATGTAAAAAACAGTGGTTTTATTTATATATTTATATATATATATATTTATATATAAATATTTACGGTGGCCCCTAGAGACAAAGCACGTACAAACTCCAAAGCAAGTACAAACTCCAAAACACTTTTCTAGCATGAACTGAACTTCCAAAACAGAGCTACCTAGATCACTTACATTACACAATTGAAAGCAAATGTGTATTGTTTGTGTATTTATACACAAGCACTCATATATATTCAAATAATTAAAAAAAAAACTTTAACATTTACCTGTTATTACCACACACCAAATCCGTTTGTTGGTACTTGCTGGCTTGTGTAGCCACTAGGTAACAAAAGGTCAACACTGCACCTAGCATCCTGGGGTCCGTTCTTCGTACCTCGCTAAGTAAGTTAGCTGGATTTGATTGTTGATGATTTCGCGTGATCTTGGATCGTTCGGTTCTCCGAAGCTCATCCGGGACTTGCTGTCATAGCAACAGATCCGTAAGCGTAAACCTGCTTGGGAGCAAGATTGATAAGGAGAGTTTTCAGAATTCAGCGTATATTGCGGGATAGACAGGGTCCTTTAGCTCAGTGTGACAGTGTGCTCATAGAGAGATATTTTCCTGTGAGGGTATTATTTACTTAACCAACTTGTTGGATCCCTATGTTAAGAGTTCCACTCACCGTAGTTGGGCATTAACAACTGCACAAACTGTGTGCATTGGCTTGCATTTCTTTGCGAGTGGCACGTTTCTGTACGCTGTTAGAGATGCAGAGAACATTGGCAAAAGTGCTGTCTGCCGTTCCATTCGCAAAGTATACCTGGCACTCAAGCATTTCCTGGGTGTGTTTGTGGTTTTTCCAAGCCACTTAAGACCACAGGTTGTCAAACAGGGATTTTTTTTCTATTGCAGGTACATTAAATTCGATAATGAATGTGATGCAATCATGACCTATGTCTGTAACTATAGCTCGATTGTCCGCACACCGATGGTGTGTGACTCTATGTGCCATATCACAAATGTGGAAGCTAAATGGCCCGGATCAGTGCATGACTCAAGAATTTTCAGAGTCAGGGTTATGCACATTATTTGAGTGTGGTAAGAAAAAGAGACTTATTTTGATATTTCATACTTATTTTGGGCCTAACATAACAGCATTTCTCCATTACACAGGGGCCTACGATGGGATTCTCCTTGGAGACAGGGGTTATGCATGCAGGCAGTACTTCATGACACCGTTCCCTGACCCCAACCCTGGGCCACAAACCCGCTACAATGCAGCTCTAGCCAGGACAAGGGCACGCATTGAAATGACCTTTGGGCAAATAAAGGGAAGATTTCAGTGTCTGAAAAGTCTGAGGGTTGCACCTGACAGGGCATGTGACATTATTGTTGCATGTGCCGTACTGCACAACATTGCCACCATCAGAAAGGAGAGGACTCCTGTGGTGGAGGTGCAGCCTGATGATGACCTCCAGCCAGTGCACTTGGACCAACCTAGTGGCAGAGCTGCACGGGACAGAATTGTGCAACACAATTTCGAATATTAAAAACATGAAAAAACATATTTTTCATTGAAATTTATTTCTGCATCTTTTTCTGTCTCATCAAAAAAAAGCCAGTCATCATTTGCCAGGAAAAAAAATCATATATACTGTATCATGCAAGGTCATCAATAGTGCTCTGTATGAAAGTGTATTTTTACTTACTCTGAAGTTCCTTTTGAAGGAACTCGATTTCTAGTTGAACTTTTTGCCTCATTAGAGCTTGAAGTTCGATTTCACCTAGAAGCTTTTGTTTCTTTAGCTCAGTATACTCCATTTTTTGCTGGAGACTTCTCTTATAGAGCAAACGAATGTCACCCTGTTTTAACTGTAGAGACAACATTTAACGGTCAATACATGTCATATAGGAAGTAAAATTAATTACAAGACTGCCCACCTCTGTATCAGGCCTCTCTGCCGGCCTCTTTGCCTGCAAATCATACTGCAGTCAGAAACACATAGAAGTACACAAGTAGATACAAATTCAGGCCAAATTATGCA